GACCTTTGAACAGCATGGGTTTGAACTGCATGGGTACATGCACATGTGAATTTTTTCAATAAACATACTGAAAATTTTTTTTGAAGATTTACAACAATTTGAAAACACTTAGATGAACCATGTAGCCTACAAATATTGAAAAAATTAAGAAAAACGTATGTCATGAATGCATAAAACATATGTAGATACTGATTTATCATTTACTACAATAAAATATATAGAAATCTACTACAAAAAGTTAAAATTTATCAGAACTTACGAACGCAAACGCAGACCATACACGGTGCCTGCCATTCGCAGTTGAGAGAAATGTGGACCCACGTAAAGATTAAGTCATAACCACGTGAATCTAACTGCAGCACAGGCTGCACTACTGTAGTAACTTCACAGCCGCTGCCTGTGGCCGCCATGGTGAGATCAAGCATTGCGTGTATCAGCTGAAAACACCCAGTGACACCAACCATCTCCGTGTGGGCACGTCACCTCTCCAGTAATTCGCATTATCAGTAAAAAGTGATGTCTCGTGGTTTTCTTTTCCTTATGGTTTTCTTAACATTTTCTTTTTTCTAGCTTACTTTATTGTGAGAACACCATATATGATACACATAACATACAAAATAACATGTTAATCAACTGGTTATGTTGTCAGTAAGACTTCCGGTCAACAGTAGGCTATGAGTAAAGTTTTGGGGGAGTCAAAAGTTATAATTGAATTTTCAACTGCTCGAGGGCTGGCACCCCAACCCCCATGTTATTCAAGGGTCAACTGTATTCATGTACTTTTTTTTTGTCCTTTTTTTGTGAACAGCCGCACCACGCTCAGCCAGTGAGCACACCGGGGTCATCCCTATATAGGATCCGAACCCGCGGCAGGAGCTGCTGTGCTCCCAGCGCCGCACTCTCCTGAGTGCGCCACGGGGTCGGCCCTGTATTCATGTACTTTTAATTGCTACTTCAAATCCATACTAAGCACTATGCTTAAGACCCGCGGCAGGAGCTGCTGTGCTCCCAGCGCCGCACTCTCCTGAGTGCGCCACGGGGTCGGCCCTGTATTCATGTACTTTTAATTGCTACTTCAAATCCATACTAAGCACTGTGCTTAAGACTAGACTATATTTTACTGGCATTTTTGTTTTTAAAAAAAAAAAAAAAAAAAAAAAGCATGCCCTAAAAGTAAACTCTTAGCCAGAAAAAAGCCAGAAAAAGGAAAATAGGGGGAGGGGAAGAAAGAAAGAGATCTATCAACACTTCTATTCCACAACAGTCTCAAAGCCACAGGATAAACAGGTGGCCTTTATCTGAGCAGAGGTATTTCACCTGAAGGCTTACCTTGGAAGGCTCATCCCGTAGAGCAGCTAGGCGGCCTTTCTGGGGGCGTCGCAACACTGCACTGGTGCTGAAGGAATCTGTGTGACTGTCTGCCACAGGGAACCTGAAATCTGGGACACTGCCCAAGTGGGGTCGGCTGAAACACATACAAAAAGAATAGCCACTTTCAGAAAAAGTAAACTAACATTCTGATTTCTAGTCAAGCCAGAACCTGTTTATTTGGAAAAGAAGTAACTTCACATGTGAGAAGTCTCCAAGGAAAGCCACTCTTTTGCTTGCCTCAATAGCTACCGATGCCTGCTCTGGGTTGACATTTAGTCTTTCAACCCCGCAAGACAGAAAGCTTCACTACCCAGGAAAACCAACACAGGCTGCTACAGATTGGGAGAGACCCGTGAGCCACCTCAGGACCCTCCTCCAGGTAAAGGTGTTCGGCCCTGCGTTTCTGTTCTACTTTTTCCACGGCAGACAACAAGCACACCGACACATCGCTTCCGGCCTTCACTTGCTGTTGTCTTCGCTCTTGTGCCCTAGACCTTCACAATACCCTAAAATTTGCAAAGGAAGACATGTTTGCATAGGCTCTAAGCTGTCTCTTAAATCATGTTCCAAGAAGAAGTCTGTTTCCTATAGACTAGTGTCACCAGTTAACCACTTCGGTACCTTCTGCTAAATTTTAACTCACTTGACCATTTTCTACAAAGAAACGAACAAAGGTTTTAACACCCAGTGAGGAGGGTTGCCTCTGTAACAATGAGCAGGAAAATAAGAAGGACGCCGGGGTTCACATGCTGGGCGATCTGCTGGATTCATCCACAAGCCCAGTGATTCCCTCATACTACGTCAGCCAGTTCAAAGTCATAGCTCAACAGATTTTAAAATGACTACATGCCAGAAACTTTCAGTGTCAATTAAAAAATATAAAACACTCCAGCTCCTTACTGCACTAAGTCCTGGAATCTGAAAGTATTCCTCAAACTCCAGCTGTACGGTTTCCTTAGCAACCTTGTCCTGTGGACGTGACCACTGCACCCACGAATGCCAGTCCTCTACCTCTTGGGTTCTGTCCTCCTGTCCCTACATCATCAGTGTTATACTCCACTGAGCACCTAAATCAATATATCCAAATATTAACTGAGCAATCCCCACCTTCCAAACCTTCCTGTGTTTCTGAGTTTTGTCAACTAGTAGGCATGAGTCTCCTAGGTACCAAACTCTAACCTTTGCAATGACATTTTACTCTACCCTCTTGCCTGCTATTAAGCCACAGGCCCCTTAAGCTCGGACCTCCAGTTATACTGCCCACATAGCCAAGGACAGGCCTTTGTATACACACAACAGATGCTAAAAACATACTTATTAATTTGTTAATATCATACCCATGATGAAGTGAAGCACCTCTTAGTCTCATTTGGTCTAGTTCAGCCCTCAATGCTTCAATGTTTAAGACGAGCTGATCCTACAAAATAGCAAACCACTTACATTGCAGCTCTCTCTTTTAGGTTTTAAGGTTATTTGCATCAAATATGCCCAGATGTTGAACATTACCGTAACAGGATAAAGTAGCAGTTATAAGTACCAAACATTTTAATTCTGTGAAAACTTTCTCCAAGAGTAATACAGTAAACATAAAAGCTCAGAACGCCAAATTAGCGTTTTATTCATTAGGGTTTACAAAGTTATGTCTTAGTCATAGGGAAAAAAAAAAAGTTTTTTTTCTGAAGGCTGGCTGGTACTGGGATCTGAATCCTTGACCTTGGTGTTATCAGCACCACACTCTAACCAACTGAGCTAACTGGCCAGCCTGTGAAAACTTTAAAGGATAAACACCAGCCATTAACAACTATTAGTTTTGTAGAGAGAAGCAAAACTCTTTTGGGGACGAAGGGGAACAATATTCACTCTCTACCGTATATACTTCTCTGTACTATTTTTAATCGTCTTATATCAAGCATGCATTCATTCCTGTATCATGTGCAACCTGGTCTCATTTCTAAATCTGTGCCACTGGCTAGCTACTCGTGACTACTGAGCCCTTAAAATGGGCTAGTCCAAACTGAGATGTGCTGTAATTATGAAACATACAGTGGATTTCAAAGACTTAACATAAAAAAAGAATGCAAAGTAGCTCATTAGTGATTGATACTAATATATTATAAAATGACTAACATTTTGGATATACTAGGTTAAATAAAATTAATTTTGCCTATTTCTTTCTACTTTATAAAATATGGCTAGTAGAAAACTAGAAGTCACATATGCAGCTCATACGAGGGTGCTTCATAAAGTTCATGGAAAAATAGAACTAAAAGATGATACAAATCTTTCCATGGACTTTTTGAAGTGCCCTCATATTTCTGTTGGACAGCAGTATTCTTGATGAAAGGTTTAGGCGAGTACTTTAGCACCAAATAAACCCAGAGAGGACTTAGAGTTCTGAAACATGCACATTGCCAAACTCAAAATGTATCAAAAACACAAAGGCACTCAAACATGCACATCTAGGAGTGCTGTAAGTCTTATGGCAGGGACCATGAGAGCCATAAAAACTGATCAATTTAACTTCCACCAAATGCCGTAGGGACTATAACTACAATAAACTCAGTTCAGTTCAGCTCTTAACAAATATCTAAATAAATTAGAGATGACTCAAGTACCTTATCATGTTGCGTATCTTCCAATTGCTTTTTTGCATTTTCAACTTCTCGTAACAGAGAATTCTGAAAAAGATTAGATAGTCTTTTAGTGTTAATTCTTTAAAATGTTCATGTAAGAGAGTATGGCTACATTTGTTTAAAAAATAAAATCCCACAGAAAAGGCACGGATCAGAGGAATGCACTAATGAGCACTGCCGCAGTCCCACAGGGTAAACGCTGACCACATGGCTATAACTTCGCACAATTGCTCTTATTCATATGAAATTTACTTCTTTCCTGACTGAATTTTCTTTCTTTTTTTTTTTTTTTGTCTTTTTTACTGACTGGTAACGGGATCGCAACCCTCGGTGTCGCGCCCATACCGGGGACCGGCAACGGGATCGCAACCCTTGGTGTTGCGCCCGAACCGCGCTCAGCCAGTGAGCGGGAACCGGTCTCCACATGGGATCCGAACCCTTGGCGGGAGCGCCGCCGCACTCCCAAGCGGCGCACTCTCCAGTGCACCACCGGGCTGGCCCACTGACTGAATTTTCTAAACGCAGAAATGTTGAGTTTGTGGTCAAGTTTACTTTAATCAATTACACTGACTTATACACTAACTTCTAGGTTTTCTAATTCATTGGTCACTTGGGAAACCTGAAATTAATAAAATTAGATAATTAAAATCAAAGATACAAATACTACTACCTTAAGGTTGATCCAATGATCAAGCAGGTAAGTGAGAGTAGCTACTCTGTATGGTCTCTAATATTGTGTTTTGCAATCAGTCATAAAATAAATGTGTCATATAATGAGCAGTAATCATCAGTCTTTCTCAAGTGAGCATGACTGCAACTCTACGTGCTAACCTCAGAGAAGTTTCTGAGCCTCATCTTAGAAACGATGGCGTGGTGAGGACAGGCTTTGTCAAATCTGAATCCAACTGCTGCCCATTGGAACTGCTCTGACATAGATTCTAGAACATCCCTTCACTCTGGTTATGGCTAAGGTACTTCCATAAGAATACTAAGAGTTAAGCCTCAGACTTCCTCCAAACCAAACGAAAAGAGAATAAAGGTGGGGGTTGGAACATGACACTGTGTGGTTCTAGATGATTAAATCTTCTCCACTGCACCATACTCCTAATGTGTTATGTTTATAAATGAGACAGAAATTAACTTCCAATGGAAGAGCAATAAAGGGGCGAGGCTGGACCAAAGAAGAGACTCTAGTGCAGAGACTGGCAAACTAGGACTGGTGGTCAGACCCAGCCCTCTGCCTGTTTCTGTTAATAAAATTTTACTGGAACATAGCCACGCCCATTCACTTAGGTGTTGTCTATGTGGCTTTTGTGATAATTACTGATTAGCATGAAATTATTTTATTGAATCACTCATAATTACTAAAAACCTAAAGTATTTCCTATCTGGCCCTTTACAGATACTATTTACATACTCCTGTCCTAGAGAATAAGAATGATACATAGCTTTCCACACACCCAAGCGGGGCAGGACATAACAAAGGATAAGTTAATTCAGTGACTGGATAACAATCTTGTGCCTTTGCACTTTCAAGAACAATTCCTATGTAACAGTTGCTAACCACTGCTTTGCATTATTCCTCAGGAGGAGATGAACGGTCCTTTTGTAAAGGGTGGGAAACCTCCAGTGAAGCCTGTCTGTCCTACCTTATCTTCTAGAGCAGCCATTCTCTCTTTCAGATGAAGCTGGAGCCTCTCATTAGATTCTGAAAGAAGCTTGTCAACAGTGTCTGATAAACGTTTATTATGCTCTTCATTCATTTTTTCTCTCTGCCTTGCCTAAAATAAGAGAAACAAAACTTATCAACTACATGTAAACACACAATCATTATTTTAAAAGCACCAGGGACTGACAGTGAGTCACAACTGTGCCATCACTCCCCAGGCTATGCCCCCACTATCATCTTTAGTGGACTTCTGCATGATGACCAGACCTGACTTGTGGACACAGAAAAACAGAGGGACAAGTCTCGGATAATTAGAAGGTCCTGCTGCTTCTGTTAAACAAAGCACTCATGGTGCCTCAGCAATGCCACCAGCCATTAACTGTCAGATGGACTTAGAGGCAGACTTATATGCAGGAGCCACCAGATATTTAGAGGATCGGCTTATCTACACGCTGGTTGAGGAACTTCCACTTGTATAAACAACAGCTAGGGTATGGATTTAGGGTCAAAATTAATTTATTTACAAAGCAAAAGGTAAAAATATTTGTTTAAAAAAAAATCAGTGGAGATACTTTCATGTATTTTTCTATATAACCCCCTACATTGCTTAAATTCCTCATAATGAAAATTTGTATTCAGAAGTTACAAGTAATTGCCTTAAGTAATTTTAAAATGTGATAACGAAGTTGACAAGTTTGTGTTTTATGAAGCCATAATCAATTTCATGGCTTAAAAGCTTTGTTTCCACCCCATATCCCAAATGAACACCAATGACAGGAGGAGGGGACAGAAGTGTTAACAGGCAGCACATATTGGGCCACACCTCTGTGCCTCATCACCCAAACACGTCAGTGGTGCTCTGGGGGTTCCTCCCAGGCAACTGCAGCGGGCACAGGGCCTAGGCTGGGCACGTGAGCCCTGCTGCCCAGGTAGGAGGACCTAAGCCATAAGGACTTGAGCCCTAGGAAAAGAGGCCCTGACCTCCCCCAGCCCGAGCCACGCCCTTGGGGCTCCCAGGCTGACTCAGCCCCTTGGGCTGAACACGCACCCGCTGCAGTTCTTGGTTCTTTTCCTCCAGCTGCGCCTCCATCTGTCGTAACCTTTCTTCAATGTTGCCGTGTCTCTCTTCAGCCTGTCGGCAAAAGCAACATCAGCCGGCCTCGTACTCACTTCATGAGTGACATGCTGCAGACTACTGCAGGAGCAGCAAGCATAACATGCTCCGCGTGGATCAGTTTCAACCATACTGAGTGGAAGGTGTTTTCTCACATCTATCAAGACATCCCGTGTGGCTTCATGTGCTAAATCATGGAGCAACTACCCTCTCATGTGGGTGATGCTCAAGCGTGGCTGGTGCTGGTGACTGGCTCTGTGTCCCCATCCCCATGCCCAAGCCCAGTGGATGTGTGACTCTGCCCATCTTCAGGCTGCTTCTGGTTAGTCAGCGCAGAAAGCAGAAAGCGGCAAGCACAAGTAAGGAGCAATGGACAAAGTCTACCTTCCTAAGCCTGGAAGTAAGTTCCAACAGCTTAGCTTCCTTAGCAGCAGAGCTCCCAGAAGACAAAAGATCAGACTACAAAGCCGACAAGGGACAGGAAAGATAACAGGGAGAGAAGAAACCGAGACTTAAAAAGCAGATCACAGAAGGGAAGAAAGGTTCTGTTAAAGCTGTTAGCAACAAACTGGCTCGAAGGCACAGGTGAGCATTGGACCCAATGCCACCCTTCACCCGCAGGGCACTGTGTCCCTTCCCAGCTATGCTTGAGCAAGGAGACGCAGGACTACTGATGGGTGCTGACCCAGGACTCTGCTCTTGCAGCTCTCTCCGCCTGGCTGATGCTTACTGGCCCTGTAGCGCTAAGCCTCTCCCACGCCCAGGAAGGCTGGCTGGTTCCAGGGCCTCCCACATGCCCAATTTGAGTACCTACTTTGTAATCTTGAAATTGCCCCTCTACCTGCTTGCTTCCCCTGTGGATGGTGAGAACTTTGAGGGTAGGACTGTGCCTTGCACGTGCCTAGCCAACAGTTGTTGAACAAATGAATGAGTATTATTTAAAATTTTGTCTTTAGAAGTGAATAGCATTTTCCTTTTTCTGAGAAAAACTATCCTTCTTTTTCACAAAACTTCTATCCCATGTTTTGAGTTGGTGGATAAAACAGAAACAGTTAACTCTTAGACATGCATACTGGGGACAAGCTGCATATACCTGACAGATAAAAAGGGAGGATGACATTTAAAAAGTGTCCCAATTGCAGACAAACTAGCACTAAAAACAAATCTGAGCGACTGCACGGATTTAGGCACAGTGACTAGGAACAAGGATAAACAAGGTAGGTGAACAATGCATAATCACAACCATCAATCCAGAAGCCTGCCCAAGCCCCACCTTCGAGAGCGCTGCCACCCTCTGGGCCAGCTCCGCCTCCACCTCCGGGAGTGTCTCGGCTTTCCTCATGGTCTGCTGCAGCTTTTGCTCCGCTAATTCCAGCCGTTCCTGTAACTGGCGGTTTTTATCCTCAGTCTGTGAAATGAGAGAAAGCATCAACATGTAGCAACCTTCTGGCTGTTTCCTTTTTCAATAGGTTGAAGCAAACTGAAAGGCAGACATGAACTAAGTCTGTTATGACGGAAGCCCCTCGGCTCTGGTAGCTGCAAACAGCACACACCCACCTTCCTGGGTTTGATTTCCATGTGCAAACACCTCTTGCCAAAGTACTTTTTCCTAAACAGCTTCAAAACAGTTTTTTTTTCTTTTAACAAATAAATGTTCGTGTACCCTAAGTAAAATAGCTTTCTACAGAAGCTTCTCACTCTAATTGACAAGCTAAGAAGAATGTGGTACTATCCCTTGTTAAAAAGCAATCCGACCCGTACTAGAAGGCAGCACTCTGGACAGCCCACTGACGCGACAAAACGCAGCTCTCATCTGTTCCATACAGATCTTCCAAGAGTGCACCAACAGAACATTGCTTCAGATATCTTTTAAATGTATTTAAAAGATATTCTTTTTAAAAACCCTCTTGCTCTAAAATAATTTTCACGTTGAAGATTTAACAAAAGATTTTTTAAAGAAATCTAAAAATCATCAATAAGTTCAGGTTCCTGAGAGGTTTAACATTTGTTTATATGTAGCTTTCCTCTTCTTTCTGTATGCATTTATCTCTCTATGTGCATATATACAATACATCATGCTTTAAAACCCTCAAAAAATACATCATACTGTAGTACTATTTTGAAATTTGCCTTTCAAAGTCATCATTATTGTGAACATCTTACATATCATTAAATATTCTGCAATATCACTTTTAATGGCAGTCTGATATTTTCTTATTTTTATTTCTGGATAAATACACTTTGTAAAATACCAAATACTTTAGTTTCAAGAAGTCTGATTTAAGTTTTTCGGGTTAATTCTTGATTACCTAAGACCACACAGAAACAGGAGTAAGTATGGCTTACCAAACCACAGGAAATACATAGGTCTTACTACAGACTTCATGTCTAAATTTGCCATTTATCACATCGCGCCCAGTTACTAACTAGCAGCCAACTGCCTTAAGTTCTTTGCCACTCTCTGCTCCTGCTCCTTTGGTAAAAATGCTAACAAGCAACAGATTAACTTTCAATTAAAACAAAAGAAAGAATCAAAGAGAGTAGCTCCATAAAATGGCTAAATCAAATCCTAAATCATCAAAACTTGTAAGTGGAAGTTGCCCACACTTCTTGAACATAAGTATTTTAAGATGCTAAAAACTTTATATTTAGACCCGATTGCCAACATGAAAGGTATAGAAAAAAGGCTTTTAACTCCATTAACAATTAATGCAAGCCAGACAAAAGTCCATAAACTCCATCACCTGTCGATGCATAGAATCTTTGTTTGCAATTTCATTTTCAAGTTTATCATTGAGGTCATGCACAGACGGGGCTTCACGCTGTGCAGCGAGGTAGCGTTTTTCAAGAGTAGTGATTCTCTCTTCCATGTCTTCTTTTTGGGCCATGGCCTAAATTAGGTATTTCAGAGGGAAAAAAAGGTAGGTAATTAATATATAACACACTAATATACTTAATTAAGAGAGAAAAAACTGGACTAAATCCTAAATTTCATATCAAATATAGTCATGCACCACGTAATGACCATTCAACCAACGATAAGCCACGTATAAAATGGTGGTCAGAGCAACAGGCTACACCACCTAGCTTAGCTGTGTAGTAGGCTATGCCATCCAGTTATGTGTAAGTGCACTCTATGAGGGTCACACAACGACGAAATCGACTAAGGAGGAATTTCTCAGAACTTTTCCTTGTCCCTCAGTGATGCATGACTGTATAAAAAAAAAAAAAAAAAAAATTAGTATCCTCAAAATCAAATTGATATAGATGCCAATTTTCTCAAATGTGAATAAAAATGTACCTACCTCAAATACCACAAATATTCACCTATGTGATTAGCAAAGACCAATCTACCTTAACACTTTATCTGGCCACTCAGTTTACCAAAGTTTATTCTTTCCTACATAATATTACAAAAAAAAGGAATAATAAAATATCCCAATACTCCAAGAATCCAAGCAGGTAAAAGTATCCATAGATGCAGCCTATGTCTGCCTGGTGCTATAAACGGGCTGATACAAGACAGGGTGTGGCCTCTGAGTGAATACAGTAGTGAGAGTCAAATTTCATTTTCTTGGATGAAATCTCATACAACTACAAATTTCAAGCATATTATCAAATGGGAACGGAAGTCAAAGTTTAACTTAATTGGGCACAACCCAAGGAGGAGCTGGCTAGTAGTGACCTTGGAGACACAGCCAGCAGCATGAGTACCCCAAGAGGAAGAAACCTTCACCCAAGGAGGAAACAGTTAGTTACCCCAAAGAGGCAGGCGACAGGAGTGTCCCCAGGAAAAAGAGGAAATTCTCTTCCAGGAAGGAGCCGGTCAGCAGTGGGCCTGAAGACACTGCTGTCAGCAACAACAGCTCTAAGAAAAGAAAAAGCTCCAAAAACCACCCCAGGAAGATTAACGGACATCACCTGGGGGAGGGCATACCCCACTTACATTCCCCAACCCATGCCACGTCCTGTACCCCAGTAAAAACAAATTCACACACACAAAAATAAAATAATTGGGCACAACCACCTAAAGTCCGTAGCAAAATTAACACTACACGGCATCAAACGCGAGCGAGGAGCTGAACGGTTTGTTTGTGCAATGCCTGTCCTCCACTCCAAAACTCACTGCCTTTAAGTCCTTTCCTGCTTATTATGTGACTAATGTTAGCAAAGTCTTAATATCAAAAGTGACGGGTCTTAAAAGAAGAATTTCAAAATTCTCTGCATATTAAACTCTGCCACAGGAATAATGTGCTGTAGACAAAGAATATAACCTAGTAAGTTATATAATATATGAAAGTATTTTTCTTTGTTTTGAATTCTTACATAACATACTAAGCTACCAAACTGAAAGTAAACCTGTTCTACATATGTGTTAAATGGTCAAGAGGATCTCATGGGGTACAAAGAACAAGTTAAAAAGTGACAGGAGGAGGTGCCAGAAAAAGCACCTGGCCCTCACTTGCTTTTATAACAATGATTAAATAGATTCTTATACTTACAAAGGCAGAAATTTTCTAAGAAATGAGTGTTTTTTGACATTTTTACACCATGACCTAAGTGTGAGCAAATTCCACATGTATTGTTTGTCTGACCCATGGTTTGTCAAAACCATATATTCTGTGAAGGAGTAGAATGTCATAAAACTAGAAAACCGCCAGTAACACTCTCTTCACAAAGTCAACAGACTGCTCTCACATCACTGTAAGTGAACCAGCAGCACAAGCAACATCAACATTTACTGGCTAAGAGCGTATTAGGAGGCAATCTGAACATGACATATCCACAGACGAGTGCAATTACGTGACCTTGAAGCAGCCTGGTGGAAAGCACCTATGTCATGCCCACTCCACAGCCACAGTGCATCAGTGAGGCTAGCCTCCTCTACCTTTGAAGACCATGGGGAAAGGAGATTTTACGATGGAAATGGGGACACAGCCTATCACAGTCTCATAGCACTGCTTGGTTTCACTATTGTTTATACGATGATCCAGAGGTTGAAAGTAATTGGGAGAGCAAGGCACAAAAGGAATCAAGAAAAGCAACCCACCACAACACCCCAGATGCTCAGCTCAGTGACAGGTTCTATTATCACTCACTTCGCGGATGTCCCGTTGCAGTTTCGTGTTCATCTCCTCAGATTTGATCAAGTCTTTCCTGGCCGTGTCGAGATCTTCCTCCAGCTCTGCCACGTGGCTGGAGAGGGCGGCCAGGCGCTCTTTCATTTGGCTCTGTTCCCTCAATTGCTTGACTATGACTTCCTGGAGCTCTATTACTTTAGCAAGGTCCTCCTCGTGGCTTAACGAACCATCAGAAGATCTCTGAAGGAAAAAAAATAAAAGACATACATATATCCTTAAATGGCCTTGTTTGGTGAGTTATGAAATATAAAATACTTCCAGGAAATAGGCAAACTCAAAACTGATTTATGCAATCTGCTGGATTACACAACTCTCATGACCACTTGCACCTTAAGCCAGAGCTTTAGTGGCAGCTCTCCAAGCAGCCCTACAAAGACACTGCGGACAGACGAAGTCAGAAAGAGAATGAAGAAAAGCCCAAGGACTTGCCTTTCCATTCGTGCTCGGGGTATTTTCTTGTTCATGGTTCATGTCAAGCGCTCCATCTGTTAGTGTTTTTTTCTGATTATTCTGTTCTTTAAGAATCATTAGCTAAAACCAAAAAATTGAATATGAGATTAAAATACCTTGCATAAGAGACATAAATAAAGATAGCAAAACTCCTTTTGGAAAAACTCAACTATAAACTGCTAACTATAGTATAAAAAGAAAGCATATGGTAACGCTATCCATCCTGAATATCAGCAGATTATTAAAAATGGAATTTATTACCTAATGGAAAAATGGATAATAAGAAATAAAAGTCTACTTTATAAGTCCTTAACATGACCTGGATAGGTTGCTCCTCAATTAGAAAGATAAATAACATCTGACAGCCCCTACTACAGTCCTCACACTTTAAAAAACTAAGGGATAAAAATTTTAAAAGCCCCAATTCAAAGCATATGACGATGTCTCAAGCTTACCTCTTTGTGTGTGGCACCTAATTCTTCTTCTAACAAACTACACCTTTCAAGTGCTACTCGTAATCTCTCTCTCACCTGAAAATAAAAGGGGTTGAGCTTGTGTGTATGTGCACATGTATATATTTTATTCTTAACATGTAGTTATCCTGATATAACATTAGTATATGATGGAATACCTTTAACGTCTTTCATTGTTATTACTGTTACCGAAACTTCCTTGTCAATGGCTTTAAATTTTGAGAATAATCTTCCCCCTAAATTACATTACCCAATTCTTAACAGCAAACTGACACACAGAATTAATCAATTTTAAGACATTTGTGCCAACTAGTACTTTTTAACTATATAGAACCCCATCTTCTTACAGAAAAAAATTGTTTACAATAACTCGAGAAGCTACAAAAGTTAAAGTTACACAAACACACAGGAAGCTTGCCTAATTTGCAATATGTGCAAAGATAAGGAGCTGTCATATGGCTGATGGTACCTTTTCATCCAAAGCTTTGTGGTGCTCAAACAACGACTTCAGTGCTTTGAGCACTTCGACTTCGCTGGACACACCTGCTGGGGACTGTGCCTGTCTCTTCACCACGGTCATCCTGAGAGACCTCTCGTGCCTAGAGACAAGGCATTCCAAATGTTCTAAAAGCAGCTGGAATAAAAGGCCAAAATAAAAACATGTTTAAAGAGCACTTCTAATGCTAAAACAATCTTGAATCCCTTTAATTCAGTAGAAAGTTAGAGACATTCCCCTCAAAAGTATTAAAATACCATTAACTCTCATCACAAATTTCAAGCAATGCATGATAATGCTGAGCTAATCAATCACAGTCTGCTCAGTAGGAAAAAGCATGAAAATGCTTAAAACCAGAGAGAGCAGATCATCTTTTTGTTCCAAAATAGCATCACCGATCCCAGTACTTACTCCAGAGGCCAATGGTAACACAGTAAGATTCACCTACTAACCCTGGTGTTGTTCCTTTCTGCTTTCAGTTCAGCAATTTCTTCTTCCCTTTCAAGAAGCTGTTCCCTGCATATATTCAGTTCCTTTGTAAGTGCAGCAAACTCCTAGAAAATAGCAAAATCAACAGATATATAGAAAGAGATCCTCTAAAGAAAGACTTCCACCAACCCTCTGCAGTCCCCACACAACAGCAACCCTGTCACAGCATATAAGGGAAGAGATCTCTGTGATCCTCAGAAAAAGAGGGATCAACCAGCTGGCCTAAGAACACACAGATTACCAAACAAATCAGACTCTAACTCAGACTCTCTGACTTCCCTCCACCCCTGGGCCCTGGCACATGCATAAAGGGGAATCTAAGCCCACCTTCTCAACATCCAGAGAAGTCCAAGATATTTTGCTGGACAGGGATCCTGACATGAAGTGGAAGACAACATTTTTTAAGTGAATTGCAGACACATGACCTAGAATCACTGGGGAGAGCAAAGGAGAGAAGGCCTGGAAGGCCATCACATGTCGTAGCCTCTTTTTCTATCTACATTGATTCTCCTCTGGGGAAGAGCATGGGGCTTTTGAGAGTCTCCTGGACTGATGGCACCCCAAGGCCAATCTCTTTGCCTGAATAATTTGCTCCAAGTCAACTATAAAAAATGGACTTTTCGCAGTGCTGTAAGCCCTTTGTAGAGGGGGCCAGTCTAAGATGAAGTCTGTCTCTGGCCAAGTGGAAGAGTTTCTAGAGGATTTAACTGGGAAGAGCTGTGCCCAGAGCTCCCCTTCACTCTGCTCTGGACTCCTTCTCTAACTGCCACATTAAGCTGAATTCACACATGGACACCACATATGAGCTGAGTCAAAAAAATGAGTTCAGGGGCCGGCCCGGTGGTGCACTGCTACAGTGCGCCGCTTGGGAAGCGTGGCGGCGCTCCCGCCGAGGGTTTGGATCCCACATACAGACCGG